TATTAGTTGGTTTACAGTACACTTGTTAAAATCATAAACAAGGGAATTACAAAGATATTTTGATATCAAGTTAATCTTAAAAATAATCTTTTTTAGAAGTATGGTGCCAGAGCCAAATGTTATTAATTTATGCATTGTAAAGCTAAAAAGCAAAAACAAACATTTAGGATTTCCCAGTAAACGTTGTCTACAATCTGACATCGATAATTTATTTACATTATTTATTGGTCCATATGCACTAATTAACCATAGATTTTACTGGTCTGAATTAAAAAAGTTTTAGTCTGTGACTATTGAACTTAGGTTAGTGTCAAATCTTGCCCATATGTCTATATTAAAGACATACCAGTCCACTGGCTGTAACCACTATCCATCCATCTACAGGTTTTCCTCCAAACTGTGACACGGATGGCTGATACCGTTCTCTGATGAACTTGTCATCATAAGTGGCAGCATCTTTCTTTTCTGGGCTGAATAAAACCTGGAAAAAATTAAAGACTTATATTTATAGCATTTTTGAAATCCAGGATTCTGAATATCACGACAGTGACTGTCATGTTTACCACTTTTGTTAGGATACTAAACTAACAAGTACCAATTATATTAAGATATCAGTAAGAATCACAATGTAAGGCTAAAGCATTTCCTTCAAATCTGTATATCCATGCACTTCTATTAATTGTTATAAAATAATCTGTTTTAAAACACTGAAATACCCACCTGAACACCAGTGTGGAACCAAGCAACAGCCAAAATATCTTCTCCTGGAAGTGAGGATGATCCCATACACTCCCATTTATTCACAAGAAAGTCCTTCAAGTAAACATAATTTAAACGTTAAGTAATACATCTGCCAAAAAGTCCTGCTCAAGTAAATGTAATTTTTTGTTTTTGAATCTGAGGTCATCCATATAAATATCAACATTTGCTTTATTTCTTCTATTGAACTACAGCAGTGTTAATTTCTATACTTTGCCCGTTTGGCCTACTTAAACCAGATCAAGAACGAAACTGAAGCAAAATCAGAGCTATATACAGTACATGTGTATTTTTAAAATACACATATATAAATCTTTCATTTTCTTTTTTGTAGAGCGCTTGATCCAAGATCGGAAGGTCATGTGTTCCAAACACAGCAGCCACTAACCTAAGTCCATAAAAAATAGGTAGCAACTGTTCCTTCGCTAAGCGCTTGGCACTTTGAAGGGAAAGTTGCAGGTCCTTTGGATGAGACCTTAAAAAAAATGAGGCCCCGTGTCAGGGTAGGCATTAGCACAATAAAAAACCCTCACTGCTCAATGGCCCTGAATGCCAAGTAAAGGTCTAAATTTGAAGCCCTTCACCAGTATTATGGTGACGTCTCTATATGAGTGAAAAATTCTTGAATGAGACATAAAACATACAATCAATCAATTAATCTTTTTTTTGATAGATTTAAAATATTGTGACACATTATTTACCATATCCTATTGTACAATATACCTGCATTTGCCACACTTGACATAAACCAGAGGAATCTGTGATTAATAACCTGGTTCCAGTTTTGTCCCACTGTAGATTGGTAACCATAGCCGGACAAGTTGTAACAGTGAACCATTCCCATGGTTTATCCAGATCAAACACACCAATCTCATAAGTCATGCTAGTTTCATGTCCCCTGGAATAATATGAAGTTAAGCATCATGATCATGTTGTGCATTAGTTATATAATGATATCTACACAGCCGGTGTGACTGGTCAACAGGGGATGCTTACTCCTCCAAGGCAACTGTGGCCATTTTCACATAAGATTTTAACTTAAGAATCTCTTACGAAAAATCTCGAGTGCTTTTCACAAAAACATTAATTTTGTAGCAGGTTGAACTTAAGATTTTTACTTATGACAGACTTCTTTCCTAGCAACAATCTCAATATGCTTTATAATCCTTAAAAAAAAGGATAAGATTAAAAATGAAGTAAAGTTTTCAACACTTGTTAGTGAAACAAATATTATGCTTAAAAAGTCCAGCGTAATTGGAAGTTTGAAATCTGATGTCATAATGACAAGTCTGACATAAAAGTAGGTCATACGAAGATCTTAAGAGAGAAATTGCCATTGTAAATATTTTGAGTATATTTCATTTTAACTGGGTAATTAAGTTTTTGACAATAATTGTAAAATAATATGAAATGCTATTATCATGATTATATGATGCATAAAAAGTTCTGTTAAATATCTATTTGGGTTTTATCTGTTATACTTTAAAATCAAAATTGACTATAAGATACTACCAGATGGTTAGAGTTCTTGTAAAGTTATGACAAAGTCACATAAGTATCTCATAACAATTTTTGTGAAATGGAATAAAATAGTAAGATTTCTCTACAATGAAAATTAATGGTAAGATTTTTTTGTGAAAAGGGCTACTGATCCCATCTCTGGAATTTCAAGGGGTCCATGTTTTGTGCCCTGTTCACAGATCTGTATTGTTGGTAGATTGTTTGAGATTGATTATTATTATTATGTTTATTAATATTATTATGTTTCACTCTTATTATGTATCACTGTTATCTTCACCATTATTGTAGATTAAAAGATGACAGAAGTAGAGTAAAATTGAATTGGCATCTACATGTACATAATGATCGATCAAATTTTTGTGAAAGATTTAATTTAAATTAGGTTCTTATTTCACAGATCAACTTATTGATGACATGCAGAATTTTAAAACTGGAGAGATTGAAGTGTTTTATGTTCCTTAAATTTTGTCTTTTATCTCTTTACTTTGAAAAGACTACGAGATGAACTTTGGATTAAATTAAGCCAACCTTTTCTTTTTATGTGAAGCTGTTTTCTGTCTGCTGACTGCCAGCACGTTTTGGCTTGATAATGAGGTGCAACACTTCTCCTCTGAAATCCAGTCTTTGACATTGCTGTGCGACTCATCACTACAGGTATACACTACTTCCATCGCAAAATACAGAAGTTTTTGGTCTCCTATTTCATAACGGTTTGCCAAATCTTGGCAAACTAACTACTAAGCCGCAAATTCTGAAATTGTATTTTTTTTTTCTTTCTGAGCTTCAAAGTCAAACTACTTCTTTGAATTTCAATACGAAACTTATGTCTTAAAAACGTTTTTATGATTAGCAGGAATTCAAGTAGTTGTACTTAAAATTAGTCAATCAAGCTTGAGATCGTACATGAAAGAATTCGAACGCTGGAATTTTTGTTTTCTATTCTCAATCTAGAAAGCTTATATATTTCATATGTACATCACTTGCGAATAGACCTTTCCAAATGTACCATGATTTTTGGCCCTTGACCTTGAAGTTTGACCTACTTTAAAAAAATTTAATATTGGTCATAACTTTTGAATGGAAAAAAGACGGGTCTTTTACATTTTACATGTACATTACCAGTGACAAAACCTTTTCAAATATACTATGATTTTTGAACCTGTGACCTGGACCTTGAAGTTTGAGATACTTTTCAAAAAATTTAAATATAACTTTTACGTTTGTCATAACTTTTGATTGAGAAGAGATAGGGATTCCATATTTCACATGTACATTACAGTAACTGTATCTGTGACAAGACCTTTCCAAATGTAACATGAATTTTGACCCCGTAACTTGACCTTGAAGTTTGACCTACTTTTCAACAGTTTTTTAACATAGGTAAAATAAAAACTTTTGAATGAGACAAGATAATTTGACAAGTGCATTACTCATGTCAAGAAATCTCCGAATATGCCATGATATTGACTCTGTGACCTTGACCTTCAAGTTTGACCCAATTTTCAAAACTTTTATCATTGCTGCTAACTTTTGAAAGAGAGAATATAGGGCATACTTATTTAACAAGTGCATTACCTGTAACAAGACCTTTCCAAATGTAATGTGAATTTTATCCCCATTACCCTGACCTTTAAGAGTGACCTAGGTTTCTAAAATTTCAACACTGCTGATTTTTTTAATGAGAGAAGGTATGTCACTTGCATTACCTGTTTCAGAACCTTTCTGAATGTACTCGGTTATCGACCTCGTGACTTCAAATGACATTTAACCTACAGTCTTTTTTTTTCTTTTTCTTTTTTTTTTTTTGTTACATTGCCAAGAACTTTTGAATGAGAGAAGATAGGGCTTTCATATTTTACATGTACATTTACTATGACAACGCCTCTCATTTTTTAATTCATGGCCTGTTTTATAAGTTTGAAGGACACATAAACAGGAGATTATAATATGCCATAAAATCATTGCATCCAAACCACCAAGACCCAAAAGCGGGGGACCACAATTCATTGAATTTGCCTGTTTTAAATTTCTTGTTTGCAATAAAATTGTACATATATTAATTTGCATGAACAATAAAATATATACATTATCTAAATGTATATTAAACAAACATATGAATGTTTGCATCTTAATTTTTTATTTTTCAGTTTTCCGAAGTCTTAACCTTATTTAAATTCAAAGTTATGTCCGTGTATTGTGTGGCGGATAGTTAAAATGAGGTGATGCCTTATATCCAAATTTTTTTTTTCTCACAATATAATTACAGCAGTTGTTTTTATCAGATTTTCTTAACTGAAAAGAAAATATTTCATTACATGTTGCCGATTTCAAGAATTATTTAGTTAAAAAATAATAAATTCACCTGAAATAAAGCTTATGCACTTGTATATATAAATTGTACTTAAAAGAATGTACTTACGCATTTTTATGTTTAGTTCATTGCACTTTACATTCCAACAATGCATGTGTGACGCTCTTGGTTACTCAGCTCAAAGCATGCTTACAAAAGAGCTGATAACAGTATACAAAAAGTATACGCAAAGTATACACAAACAAAATCTGTCCAATGTTTACTGATAGATAAGTCATTTTTAAAGAAATTTCGTATTTCATCATACTCCTAGGCCTGTATCAACGCAATAGACGATACCTATATATATGTTATCGACAATGCACTTGTAGAAGCAGTCACCGCTAGATGGTGTTGTTGAATCTATAAATTGACTTGCACTCACATCACTTTCAGAAAATCTAAAATCATGGATATACACGGACGAGCTTGCTTTCTTCTGTCTTTAGTGCTCAGCTGTTTAGCACAAGTATGTATAACTGAATATTTTTTTATACGATTGAAATCTTAGGATTTTTTTTTAAATATTAAAGTTTTATTCAATAGAGTAAAGTTTTATTCAATAGAAAAAGACAATTTTTCAACTGAAACGAAACTTAACATTTCATTCCAAAAAAAAAAAAGAAAGAAAGAAAAGAAATGTTCTTGGTCTTTCACGATTTTATCAATAACTCTGAGATGTAGGAAATGGGAAAAAATTAGCCTTGGGTTCAACATCCAGAATCCACAGATATAAAAAGAAGAGAAAATGTGAACAAACAAACATAACTGACTTGTTCAATATTATTCTTATTCTTAATTGCACCATTCTGGTAAATGGCCTGCTATTGTAGATGTACAGGTTATGTATCAATTTCTCAATAGTCCGAAATTGTAATCATCATTACTATAAACATGATATAAAAGACATGTAAAAATACGTGTGAATTAATTTTTAAAAATGTAAATATATCGTCTGCATAGGAAAAGTTTGATGATGAGGTTAGAGATTGGGAATTGAGTGTTTTCAAATTTAAATGAAACAAATTATATATTTACACATTAATTAATGACCAAATTATTTCAAGTATCATCCTTCTTTTAAACATTGCAATTAATATTTTATAATCTAATAAAGCATTAGATGATATATTTCATCTGCGTAATAAACTTATTGAAGGTATTAAAAATACAATAAAATATTAATGATAATTTTAAAAAATTATGTTTAAAAACTCTTTTTTCACTTTTGAAAAAGAACCTCTTATTTTAAAAGCTCAACAGCGCCACTATTTTATGATAATCATTTATTTAAATCCATATCGCTGAAATAAAAAAATTAAAAACAAAACAAAACAAACAAAAAACACAGAATTTATGAAATTCCTTCTTTAACCCAAAAATTTTGAAAATAAAGAAGTTTGAACGAATTTGAAAGCGTGTGGGTTTATAGAATAAGACAAGATATATTAAAATCTAATAAAAATACTATATAATTTTCAAAAAAAGTTTTTTATCCTTTAGCAGATGCATACATTGTGTGTGTTTGACGGCATAACACGGTATGCTGCTTAAATACAACAATAAAAAAGTTCAACATCGAAATAATGAGAACTTCATTCTTATATTTAAAGCTTTTTGAATGATGCCAATTTTAGGTTACGTGTTGGTCTATAATTGTTGATTACAAACGAAGTTGACCGTTTTGGTCTCATTGAAAACCTGCATGTTGACCAAAACTTATTCAATGTCTCGACCATCAATAAATTTCTGGCGAAGGACAGAAATCGATTGGCATTATTACCACCATTAATTCTTCCTTTTACAAGTTGATAATATTCTTGATAAATCGCTGTTCCATTGCGGATACTTATCTAATGAAGATAAAAGATCATTTGGACGCTTTGCGAGGAGAGGAAACTATTAAGGCCGTGTTCTGAGTCCTGTTATAGTACAATAGAAATTTATACATTCATTAATATTTTTGTATATAAATACAGGGTATATATAGCAAAACTGCTTATATATGATTAATGCATAAACAATTAAGCAATGGCCTTTGTATTATTCAATCAACATAATTCTCTTTAACTGATCTGTTTTAAAATTTGTCCAGTATATGTTCAGTGTATTATCGATGATTTAGTGTTATTGTGTATTTGTGTATTTTCAAATTTACAGAGCTTCCAATATACAAAAAAGAAGAAAATAACATCATTGAGAACTGATAATCAAAAAAATCACGCTGTTCATGTATGATCGAAAGATGCACGTCAAAAAAACGATGGAAAATACCAAAAACACACAGCAATACGTCAAATTTATCTTTTTTTATCGAATATTTACTTTTATACCCAACACGAACCAAGATATCATGCTATTTGTTGACCTGAAAAATAGAGAGCAAAATGTGTTGCGTCAAAAGTACAAGTCCTTCAGAACTGTGTATATTCTAAACATGATTTTAAAACATGCATGCTAAAAATATTGTAGAGCGATAGGACGCATTCAGTCTCAGAAAAAAATCATGTAGGAGATGGGATCGAGCGGTTTTCTGTCGTATATGACAGATTTTATTCAGTGAAATTAAATGAACATTTTACCAAGTAAAATCAAATCTTCGTTTCTGCTGCCAAAAGATTGATGTAAACTCATGCAGAATGTGGAGAGATGAAGAATTAATTGTATAAGAAAAAAATCCTTTACAAAAGTTGAGATAGAAAGGATGGAGGGAAAAAGGTAGGCCGCCCATCCCTGCAACAGCTTTGTGTGACATCTATAATTTTTCGATGGGTAAAGAATAAAGAAATCACTGACCCCAAAAACATGCATACAAAATACTAAATAAACTTACAAGGTCATAACCCCCCCCCCCCCCAAAAAAAATGTTTTTTGATAAGGACATAAATGTAAAAAAAAAAAAAATACATGTACAATGTATACTTGTATTATTTTTTTTTACATTTATGTCCTTATCAAAAAACAATTTTATGTACAATGTATACTTAATAATCAATGTGTGATTCCTCTCTCTATTCTGACAGTTTAAATAGTGAACGAAATAAGCACCAGTCTGGTGTCATAAAAAATGATTGTGGGATCAAGTGATGGGGAGGGAAGGCGACATTATAAGTGACTTGTTAACCAAAATTATAAAATTGCTAAAACTCAAGCGCAGATGTGCCTGTTTGAACGGTTAGTTTTCTAGTGTCCAATATATCAAAAGTAAAGGCTACATGTAATTGCAGTGTTTTTACTGCACCACAAAGCTAAAATTTCACGATTAATGTATCATTTACGTGTAGAGTACTCTGTATTCGTAGCCTCAGTCGGAAGTTATAGTTATGTGTAGTCTGAATTCTTAAAAACACACAGAGAGAGAGAGAGAGAGAGAGAGAGAGAGAGAGAGAGATAAAACTAAAACTATTAAAGTTGAAGTTGAAGCAATTTATTGTTTTCACCTGGTAACCAAAGCTAGTCCATATTAAACCAATCTAAAGCAAGGCTGAAAACATGGCAACTATGGCTCTCAGATCGTCCATTCCAATTTGTCAGACCACTGATCTGCAGGTGTTTTTACTTTTTTTTCTAACATGGGAATCAGTATGTTGAAATTTAGAATATTTTTTTGAACTAGAAAGTAGAGAATAATTACGTATTTTATGTACCGTTAACGCTCTTAGTTACCAAAGAATTTGATTTCATAGTCAGAAAACTGATAAAACACCATTTTATAAAACTGATATCGACATAATTTCCGCCATAAATATTGCCTGGTTTTATTCATTTTGGAGTAGTTGCTGAGTTTTTGACAAGACGCCACATTATAAAGTAATGTTTTGTCCCCAGCTTAATAACTGGTCCCCAAAAGGACAAACACAACGATATATAAACTGCCCGACATATCTTTTCAAAATTGTCAAAAACTTCATCAATGGGAGTAAAATGCTTTGTTGTATTAAAAAAAATGTCCGATTAGGGAAGGATTTTAAATCTATATGCTCTATATGCTCAAGACCCTAAAAAGAAATACTTTGGCGAACTTTACACGTATGCATGCAAAAAGTGAGAGAGACCGAATTGTCATGCCACCCAAAGTCACATCAAATGACAATATACACGAAATTATTCGATGGTCTCAATTTCAAATATACTAGAGCAATGAAAAAAAAATCGTGGGAAAAAAAGTAACATTTTGATTTGGCAATACTACGGAATAAAATTGGGAACTGTGAATATTTTTTTGTACGTAATAAATATCCCATTTAGCTCACCTGAGCCTAGTGCAGATACTGAGCACGTAAATAATTAAAAAAAAAATTGAAAAAATGCTTGGAAAACGTCAGATATTTCGGACTAATCTGAGCCAAGGGATCAATGAACTTATCCGATCAGTGTCCAGTGTCCGTTACCAGGTTACTGGGTCTGGGAGGGATTTTCCCTCGATCCTCTGAGCAAGAAATGGGTACCATTTCAGTGGGTTCTTATGTTCTAATGTTCGAATTCTTGAGGTCATTTAATTCTTCACATATCAAATAAACAAAATCTAAATAGATATACAATAAATTTATTTTTTTTCAAAAATGATATTTTCGAGTGTTTTCTTTTAAAGGGAGTGAACGCACCCAACTCTCTCCCACCCCCGTTTATATGGTCTTGCGTCTATCTGTCGTTTGAAGTGCGTCGTCTTTAAATGCTTAAAACCCTCCCACTTATCGTTCAGTTACAGTTACACGTTTCAATTTTTTTAAAGTAGGTTTCACTCCAAAGTTAGAAATCAAAAATATTGCTACCCAAAAGAAAGGTTTTGTCACAAGTAATACACATATAAATATGAAAACCCTAGCACCAACCGGTCAAAAGTTATGGCTGAGGTTGATATTTCTCAAGGTGCTTTAAAAATAGATGAAACTCGAATGTCAAGGTCGAGAGGTCAAAAATTGTTGGTACTTAAAGAAAGGTCTTGTCGCAAGGAATACACAGGTGAGATATGAAAGCCCAAGCACCAAAAGTTATGGACAAGGTTAAAGTGTATGCGGACAAACAGATAGACAGACAGTGGACGGACCAAAAACTAAATATCACCGAATCTCTATCTCTTCTTACAAGAAATACTCATGTGGAATATAAAAGCCTTAAAATCAATCGTACAGAAATTATATATATTCAAGGTTTAATTTTCTCACAAATAGGTCAAACTCCAAGGTCATTAGATAGAGAAAGGTCTTGTCACAAGAATACACTGTGAAAATAAAAAGCCTTAGCACCACTTCAGAAGGTATGGCTAACGTTAAGGCCACTTGTTACAAACAAACTTTTTTTTTCTTCAAATCATGAAAAAATAAACTAAAACTATTTTTTTGTATAAGTAAAATGAATAGACTAGTTTAGCCATATAATTTTTTTTAAGATTTCCCAAGAATGCTTTATGAAGTAAGTGGAAATATGTATAGATTTGTAAGGGGAACGGCAAAAAAGGAAAATGTTGAACATCATAGAAAATTTACGATTCCTTAGTACAAATGTTTTTTTATTTATTTTTTTTTTTAAATAGAAATTTGCAATCTGAATCGTTTCAAGCCCAAAAAATTCCAGAGATATACATGTATATCTGTCCATGCATTCAAGTTTTTGTTTGTAGCAAATGTCCAGTTTGTCAAAAATAGACAAAACTCCGAGATCATGAGGTTAAAACATGTTGGTACCCAAGAATGGTTATGACATCAGACATGCATACTGTGAAATCACTTTTTCATGAGGTCAAATTTTCGAGGTTTGAGGAAAAATATTGATTTCTGGCGATTTGATTTCGTTTTTTTTAGAAGTGTTGTGTAGTAATGCATACGAAATTTTACATTTCGTGGTGGTCATGAATTCGTGGGTCTCTCCATACCTTGAAAACTACGAAAATTAAACCCCAACGAAAATTAGTGATTTCACAGTATGTGACATATGAAAGCTCTAGCACCAACCGCTGAAAAATTATGGCCAAAATTAAAGTTTTGCGTACAGACAGACCAACGGACAGACCAAAAATTATATGCCCCAGAATCTCAGATTACGGGGACAAACGACGTAATCCGTAGAAGTTATTTTCTGATTTTTTTCTAATGTTTTGTTCTGATAACAATCTGAATTTCATTGCAGCCAAACTTGAACCTTTATAAGAACATAAAAAAAACTGAAGACTTTGCCCCTTTCATTAGGAAAGATGGTCATGCGATCAATTTTACAGGTAATTTACAAGCTATTTGAATATGAGAAATAGTAAATATTTTTATTAATAAATGAATAAGTGGTTTAGACAGATATTCATTTTATTTACAGAGCTTTTCAACTCAGATGCAAATAGACAAGTTGTAGGAGGCGTTACAGGTAGGTGTTCAATTTGCTTTTTATAAGAATATCCATGCATAGCATTCATTTCTTCTGAAAATCGTAAACGGTTAAACTCGAAAAAAGTATTTAAAAAATAGTCCCATGCTCTAAAGTCTCGAGTGTATCCCCCCTCCTCCAACCTTTTTTAAGGATGAAATAGAACTGATATCTTAGAAAAATTCGAGGCATAAAAATATCATTTATTTAGTTGATTTTCCTGAGAAAGTTCGATAATTTAACATGGAAAACTGTCCTTCTTGAAGCATTTCTTTTCAGAATGCAGGCTTGAATGAAATTTCTTTTCAGAATGCAGGCTTGAATGAAAATTACTCAGTAATATTGGAATCATTTACATTATAGAAGATTTTTTAAGTGGTTTGATCAGTTGGAATGGTTTCGTAATTTTCTTTGCGTAAGCCATCGTCTCAAGCCACGGTCCGGCGTCCGCATATAGCCCTCTACAATGGGAGAGGATCGTATACTTTGGCCGTAGTTTGCGACGATCTGCGTAAGCCAGTGTAGAAGATTATAATACAGGCTATCTACTAGTAGTTAATAATATTTTGGGAATAGAAAAGGTAAAATTAAGAATATGTTGCAGGTATAATGCGGTGATTGATATTATTTCTGATCACAGTCATGGGAAGGACTGCGGCAAAGTTTCCGAAAAGGAGGTGCCTGGGGAGGATTAGATCTGTAAGGGGTAACCCTCCTCGGGGCAAAATTTTGTTTAAAAAGGAAACAATTTTGATGGTTTCCCGCTCTGACGATCTTGTCAGAAAAATTTTTTTAATATTTATAAAAGATTATAGCTGAAATGAATACTGATTATCACCCAATTTTTGCGACACCATGTTTTTGCGAGATATTTATTTAGTATTTATAAGCGAGATCAAAATTTTTCGCGACTTCTGGTTACTGCTGTATATAATCAAGATATACATGAGAATAAAACTTTCGTCAAAACAAATTACGCCAAAATAAAGTTCTCGCGAATAAAATGTGATTTACAGTGATATTATATAAATCTATTTAATTGTAAGTTTAATTTTTCACGTTCCGCTTCTATATGATACAAGTAATATCCTGTTTTAAAATTAGCATAGTACATATGGGATTAATTTTTCACTTTGCGAAATAATCTTGATTTTATTCCTCTTGTTCAATATCTGTCCAAATTTGAAAGTTATTAGCATTGAGACAATGTGATATTGCACTTTATTATATCGGACTGTAATATCTAACCGCCAAATGTAATTATTCGACTACGTTACAGCATTGTTTTATTTTTTTTCTTACAGTTGGGTTCGATAATCTTGCCCAGTATGATTACTGCTCACCTAGATACCAGACAGTGGTTATACCACGTGATACTGACCCTGCTATTACATACTTCCCTCCCTGCACAAGGGTGCTTCGCTGTGGGGGATGTGCCCCGTCAGAGGTCCTGTCCTGCGAGCCCAGACAAACCAGCATAAAACAAGTTGTGGTAAATAATTGTTTTTATTTCTTCAGAATGAAGGTAATTATATGTGTATACGGAAAGCCACAGAAATATCGATGGAAAGACCTATAGACGTGATCACTGCAAGTTTTCTTTCCATTAAAAATGCTGACATGAGTTTCTAAGAGTGTTACTTTCTTCAGTTAAATAATTTACTTTTTATTGAGTGATTACTATCAGCAATGCATTTGTACTGCGTGCCGTAATGAATAAAAAAAATATTAATAAAATAGTAAATGGCCTAATGCATTACTGAATGTAGGTTGTGAGATCGAGAATTCCCTACCCAGGATCACCAGAAACCGATTTTGAAGAATTCGAAGCTAAATCTATCATCCAACACGATTCTTGTGAACCACAGTGCAAAGTAAAGCCGGAACACTGTAATCCTGTGACGCAGGTGTACGTCTCGAGGGACTGCAGCTGTATCTGTCGCAATAGAAGGACTTGCCCCACGGACCTTCATGTCTGGGACGAGGACACATGCAGCTGCAAATGCGCCCAGAAAAACGATAATTGCCCGGGCTTCTCTCGTTTTAGTGATGACACGTGCAGGTATTTTAATTAATATCGGGTTCTGTTTTGAACTAGTTATCCTTTATCACCTTTAAGTTTCGTGTCAGTTTCGATTGTCTTAATTACCCCCCCTTTTTTTTAGTATTTTTTAATTAAAAAAAATTCTACCAAAGGTAACTGCATGCGTGTTTATGATTTAAGTTTTCTTACAATACTGTAATCGTACTATAAATGGATTTATAATTGTAGTTCTTTCCTTGCCATTTCCATTAAACCCATATCCTGTGATTATAATTAAAGAGTGGTTCACTTAGGCTAAATGGCACATTAATAAAATCAGTTTCTACTTTGTATCTTATGAATACCATTATTAAATTCCATTATATGGGAATTACTAAGAGCTAAATTTATCGGTGATTCCAGACGACGTTGAATTATTGAGAAAGAATTATATTGTCTAGGTTTTGTAAGGTAATTTCTGAGCGCTCTTAGATTTTGTGATCTATTGTTTTGAATCAGTTTCTGTGGATGTTTATCAGAGTTCACCTAATGGTCAGTACATGTATCGATACATTTTTCATCACGCCATTTTATGAAATATCAACGAATAACAGAACTCACCCCAGTTAAACGAGTCGATGCACTATGCGATGGGGCTTAGAGAATTGTGCTAATGCAATCAATGAAATTTACATATGTATGAAAGTTATTTGAATGCAAAGAGTCCATTTCCCCTCGACAGTTGCACAGAGTAGATGTGAATCTATGTCTCTTATCCCTCTAGAAATGTATTACGATCTTCCTTTTCTTTAGCAAAATGTTATTTTTTCTGAAAGACACGTATAATCTCAAAGGATGTGAGTGATCTACATAGACTACAATAAAGAAGATGGTTGTGTTTGGTGTGTGATCTGCAGGAATCATGTGTACGAAACATTTATACTTTAAATGTCCACGATTTGGTCGGCTGACCACAGCTGGACAGGCTTTACATAGCTACGCACATAGGAAAATGTTAGATTTAGTTTGAAATAACCTGTCAAATTGTAATATTTAGGTCCGCTTATCTTAATAATCAAACTTTAACATAGTAATGTTTCATATAAATAATAAACACCTACAAGATAATAAGGGTATTAGTTAAATGCAATTACAAGTACATGTGTATATTAAAGCATTAGTAGGTTGGAAGAATTGCTTTCGCTCTCGGTGCAATAGAACCAGAATTTATCCATTTTAAAATAAATCGGTACAAAAAAATTAAACTGACAAAAGAATTGTTTGCTTGCATTAAAAAAATATTAACGCTCCATATGAGGATCGAACCAAAAATTTTCGTCTCCATTGCACTGGACGGGTAACGCATATTATTACATTTTCAACAGTGAAATACTGTGATTTATTTATTGAATAAAAGTGATATTCTCTCACAGTATGAAAGGATACCAAAATGATATTCTCTCACAGTGTGAAAGGATATCAAAGTAAGTAAAAAATAATTTCTGGCCTGTCATAAGATAGAGATAGTAACTAAGCATCTTGATAGAGCTAAAAGTGCAAATTTCTTCCCAGATATGTTGCTAAAATCCATGCTATGTAATGTTTTCAATCACACAACTGCTAAGCTATGATCGACGTCTCAACCGCTCAACTATGACGTCAAGCCTATGACACTGTGTTAAGAAAAGACAAAGGCAAAGGGAAAATCAAAGAAAATGTAATAAACAGAAAATTCAATGTTTTGTAAATGAATATGGAATTTATTTCACTCGTGAGACAGGATTTTTTGATATTTTCACTCGTGCTTCGCACTCGTGAAAATATAAAAAAAATCCTGTCCCACTCGTGAAATAAATTCCATATTCATCTACAAAACATTGAATATCCTCTATTTACTGAGCTATCATCGCTACACATTCAAATTGGCTTTTAAAACGACAATGAAGCATCGCATTTACACATTGGAATTCTTTGGGGGGGAAAAGTTCATTTTTTATGGTCTCTGGGTCTTTTCTCCATTTTTTACAAATGATTTTTTGTTTCTTTGAATTAGAATGCATACAAATAACATTTGAAAATCATGGAGAGAGGACCCAGAGATAGCAAATTTTTAGAAAAACGTGTTTAAAAATGTGACATTTTGTACCAAATGATCATCTAGCCTATTTTCAGATTATTTTTTAGCAAATCAAAATACAATTTCTGGAAAATATTTCCCTTTCCGATTTCACAGGGACCCAAATGATCAAAAGAATGCTAAAATTTCGTGTGACTGATCAATAATTTTTTCACTTTTCAAGTGCGCCCAGATTCCTGCCGAATGCCAATCAAAAGCGCCCTCGTTCTTTGTACCTTATTCAAGTTAACTAATATGTGCGATGACTTAAGCTGGAAGCACCTCACGAAACAAAATTACTCGTTCTTAATTCTATATTCCTGAAATACTTGTAAAATCTTTTAAAAAAAAAACCCATCCCACTCGCGAATTCATATTCTCGCAATTTGATGTTTACGAGTCATATCGTGATATCAGGTACTCGCGCATCTTCAGAACGTCAGGGGTAGTGAATCCACTCGTGAACCAGACAAACTTCATTTGGTATTTTACAGGCTGACTCAGACCCGTAGCAACGGTTTCAAAAGTGGGGGGGGGGGGCAAAATTAACCTCCCAAAAATGTATCTGACAAGCACAAAGAAACCAATCATCTAAAGAGCTATGTTCACTTTATGCATAAAATGGCCCTCTCCTTATATCAATTTTTTGACTATCACCCTCTGTCCCATTTCATATATCAACATAAAGTAGAGACTTGGTGCTTTCATTTCCTATAACAAAATTTCTTTTTGAGAATCCAGGTATCGGAAAACAGGCTTTGAGAAAACGCAATGTTCTTGAATTTTGCAGAAAACATGCATATTTGACTACCTTCAGCAAAGAATTTAATTATGAGCACAGCCCACGATCCAAAAGTTAAAATATGTTTTGTGATCTTCAGAAACAGATCTTTCATTATGTATTTGCATATTTTGGATCAGAGGTTGTGCTATATATGAAATATTAAAAAAAAATACCTCAACTTTTGGCCATTTTTAGGAGAATTTACAGGATATGGGGAAAATGACGCATTTTATGACGTCATAATGCATTGACTAGAGAGAAAATTACGTCATGTTCAATAGACACACGGTCACCAAGTGTCCAAGCTATAAATAATGCATTTTCAACCAAAACTGAGAAATTTCGACTTTTCAGAAATTCTCAGGGCCAAAAAAGGTCCTAAGTGGCTCTTGCTCTTGTCCAAAGGGGGGGGGGGAACTTCCCAAAATAATTGACAAGCAAAACTTGTTAATTAACTGTCCAAGTAGATCTATTTGAATTCGTCAGTACTCACAAAAAGTTGGGGGGGGGGCAGCATCTAATTGCAAATTTACTATAATAGCAAATTACTATAATCAGAAAAAGTGGGAATTTCATTTATTTCATTGCACGACAAAGGAACGGTTACTTCATACATGTATATGAATAATCATAGGTCTCTCGCGTCATTGGGAACGTGAATTGAACCTAAGGCCTCCTGATCACGAAGCGAGCGCCTTACCACAAAGCAACACTGACCGGTCACAGACAAGCCATTTAAATGTATCAGAAAATTGCAGCGTAAATGTTTTAAGATTTTCTTTTGAGTGCGACCCGCAGACGCAAGGGTGGACCCTTTCATTGAAGTTACAGAAGTATTCATTTCTATGTCATTTTTTCGTATGCGTTGTATTCCTTCAGTGTACTCAATGGGAGCACAGGCACCTGAAGCGTGGATCACCCGCCCCCAACTAACTAATAAGATATAAGGCCATCATTAAAAATATCTTTGTTTCCCCTAACCCGACCCTGAAATTTCAAGTTGGGTAGGTAGGTAGGTAAATTATTTTTTTTTCTCACAGCAGTTTTGAAAATACATTCTGAAAAATTGAATAACATCTTCATAAATAGGAAAGAACAAAAGAAACTGAATTTTTAATCGAATATCATACAAATGAAGCAACATGTATGGTAAATTAATTCACAAATATTTATTCATTTGAACTTGTGTAATATCTCAGGCCAAGTGTAAATTTATTGAAATCGAATATTTTAAAAAGGACAAGATTCACAAATACTCAACCATCGGACATCCGAGTATATTTTTCAAACCTACTATCATCTTCGAGTACTTACACAGACAAAATGTTAAGGGCCTTGCGTGGTGCAGTGATTCTAGTGTTTTGGAGTCACGACGTAATTCAGGAGCTTATTCTAAGTGACTCACAGATCCCTTCGTGGGACGTGGAAACTGGTCAGTCGAGTGAGACCGTAAAAAACGTAGGTCCAGTGTCGCAATATACATGTAGATGTTGACACGAAAAAGATCCCTGACTGATTCTTAATGATCTATGGCCATAAGTGCCGAGTAAAAGTCTAAAATAGGAGTCCTCAACCAGGCAGGTGTTCAAATGTTGTTGGCCCAACAATTTTAAAGGTATTTTAAAGCAAAGAAACAACCTATTTTCAAGGGCCTAACTAAACAAAAGTACACTGGACGTCTCAGGAAGCAACTCCATAAGCCAATTTTAAAGATTTCGAAAGTTTACCCCATAAATAAAAGGAATGAAGAAACGACATCTGAATTATATTTATCAAGATGAAATAATTATACAAAGACATATTTACAACTCCTATGGTCCTATATAGTAAAAATAGGACCATACAGGAACTGTTTATTAGCTCGAAACGAAAAAAATGCAGTGACATTTTTTGATATGCATATATATACAAGGTGGGCCCCTCATCTGCTCATGAGGCAGGCTTTGCCATGCTTGCTACGTACGTTAATTTGAGAAGAAACATTTGTAAATACCATTTTAACACTCATTAGTCATGGTATATTTAATTCACGAAATGTTTCAAGAGTGTAGAATTCTAATAAGTTAATGATATATAATAAGATTGATACATCGCCGCTGTTTTTATAACACGAACTAACCCTCTGAGGTCACATGTTGCGAGTGCCTAATGAGTGTAAAACAAAAGCTGCCGTTCTGATAAAAACAGATTTTGATGAAATTGTATTTTATAAAGTTGATAAACAATAAAAAAAAATATCTGAATAATCGTATTAAATAAACTTTTCAGTCGGCACGATTTAAGTGGGTCGGTCGCGTTAGGGGAAACAAAGGTATTTTTTACTTTGGCCTAAGGAGTCTTTATTTTCTCGAAAATATGTGTTTTCTTCTTCAATTCTATTTGTATGTCATTCTGTGTAATTGATTTATACTTTTGTTAAGGTTTAAAAATTGGTCATATATGGTATAATAAAAATACCCATATTATGAAAGGCAACACTGTTAGTACCTTGGAAATAAGCCTCGAAGCGGGGAATCCCCCGTTTGTTTATAATTTTTGTTTCTTACCTTGGGCATTTTTATTATACAGTATATGGCCAATTTTTAAACCTTAACAAAAGTATAAACCAATTACACAGAATGACATACAGATAAAATTGACGGAGAAATCACATATTTTCGAGAAAATAAGGACTCCTAAATTATACGTGTATTTTATTATTTAGTCGGGGGGGGGGGGGGATCCACGCTTCAGGTGCCTGTGAATGGGAGTGCACTGACTTGACCATAAAGCATTTGTGCAAAAGTGTTGCTTTTTCGGTTCAGCGTTTAGTAATTCAAATTTTGAAGCAGTAGCATACCATCTTTCTCTAAAAAATTTATATCTATCTTTACAGGTGTGAGCTACGACATGGAGTGTCCGGAATGACAGACGAAGAGATTAGAAATCTATTGCAACTGGCTGCACAAGTCACCACCACCACTACCCCAGCTCCCGCTCCAACTCTACCACCTCTGGTCTTAAGGCTCCCTAACGCCTCTTGTCAACCAGCCTATCCATGCCCACTCGGTACCTCCCCGAAAATTTCACCCGTAAACGGACGCTGTCAATGCATGCTTCCCCAGTTTCGTCTGCCTCCTTTGAGACGCAGACGACAAATACAATTCAGGCAACAGCTTCGGAGAAATCCTGCAGACTCACTTTAGAAAGGTTGACGATATTTAAATAAATTGTGACAAATATTACAGAAAGGGCGATCAAAATGCTCTGGAACTTTTGCCATAGTCGAGGAATATAAAAGTCGTGCTTGTGAAATTAAAACTTTGTACATTATTTTAATGTATACAGTATATCTTTATCCATTTTTAATGTGGCATTGCATAATATACCAAGAACAGTAAATGTATGTGAAACTGTCAAAATGCCATCTCTCTACCTTCTCTGTTTTTTGAAATGTATACATATGGTTGAAATCTCTGTTCATTTCATATTAAACGATGTAATAAAATCATTTATATATGCATAATATCCTTATATATATATATATATATATATATATATATATATATATATATATATATATATATATATATATATATATATATATATATATATATATATATATATATATATATATTTATTTATTTATTTATTTATTTATTTTAGGAATGACTCTAATTCTTGGCCAAATTATTCGAGTATAACCTGGTTTGGGTCAGTTTACGCTTTATAATCCGCGAAGCGGATTATAAAACAGCGTAAACTGACCCAAACCAGGTTATACTCGAATAATTTGGCCAAGAATTAGAGTCATTCCTTATAATTTAATTTTAAAATCATTAAACAACTGTGGGTGTAAAATTTCGTTGCTTTTTATTAGTTCAAATTTGCCGCTCAATAATACAACCCTAGTAACGGAAGTGATGGGAAGCAAGGGGAGGTAAAAACTGATACATAGTCCTAGCAACCATGTTTTTTTGTTTGCATGTGGTAAGATCCGAGTTACTGTTTGAAGCTAAAGGTACATTTATTAAATCTGGAATTTTCCATGAATCCCGAGGACTGGAAATGAGAGCATTGAATGGATACAGACGATTCAGCTGGTTGTCAGGGGGAGGTGTCCCCATACCAAACCAGGTTATACAGAAATAATTTGTGTTCCTTTTTGGATATTAACCAATCAGAGGCTAGAATACAAACAAAATTAAATTTTATATATATATATATATATATATATATATATATATATATATATATATATATATATATATATATATATATATATATATATATATATATATATATATATATATATATATATAAGCTTGATTATCATATTGCACATATAATATTTGTCATGTGTGTCTTTCTGTCCTTCCATCTGTCTGTCCATCACAATTTGCTTTTAGCTCAGTTTTAAGGAAACTGTACATGATACTTTTATCAAAATTCATACACTGTTATATGTGAGAGCTATTTGAGTCATTTTTGACTTTGACCTTACCAATGACCCTTTAAAAGAGTTTATAAAGGCGTCTATTTGATTTCGTCTTTTGCCTCGAAACAAACCCAGACCGTTTCAAATGTTTGACTGAAATCTTTGAAATTCAATTTTATCGAAGTTTTGAAAAAGAAAATATATGTACTTCCATATTAAACAAGAGACCCAGGGGCCACATCGCTCACATGAACACTGTGGCTAGGAAACAAGAAAAAAATCAGTTTAGTATTGAAAAGCTTAAATGCATAAGTGGTCCCAACCTACCCCGAAAAGGGAGTGGTGCTATGATTTGAACAAAATTAAATCTACACTTACTAATGATGCTTACATAATTTTTTGACTAACTGTGGCATTTTTCTCTACAAGTTTGAACTTTCATTGTGGCCCCACCCTACCCCTGGGGGTCATGATTTGAACAAACTTGAATCTACACTATCTGAGGATGCTTCCATATAAATATGACAAACAGTGGCTTTACTGTTCGTGAGAGGAAGATTTTTCCTATATATTCCTATGTAAAACTTTGATCGTTCATTGTGGCCCCACCCTAGCCCCGGGGGTCATGATTTGAACAAACTTGAATCTACACCACCTGAGGATGCTTCCACACAAATATAACCAATCATAGCTTTGCTGTTCTTGAAAAGATTTTTGAAGATTTTTCCTATATACACCTGTGTTAAACTTTGATCGTCCATTGTGGCCCCACCCTACCCCTGGGGGTCATGATTTAAACAAGCTTGAATCTACACCACCCAAGGATGCTTCCACATAAATATAACCAATCATAGCTTTGCTGTTCTTGAGAAGATTTTTCCTATATACACCTATGTTAAACTTTGATCGTCCATTGTGGCCCCACCCTACCCCTGGGGGTCATGATTTAAACAAGCTTGAATCTACACCACCTGAGGATGCTCCCACATAAATATTACCAATCATAGCTTTGCTGTTCGTGAGAAGAAGATTTTTGAAGATTTTTCCTATATACACCTATGTAAAACTTTGATCGTCCATTGTGGCCCCACCCTAGCCCCGGGGTCATGATTTGAACAAATTTGAACCCACACCACCTGAGGATGCGTCCATATTAATATGACCAATCATAGCTTTGCTGTTCTTGAGAAGAAGATTTTTCCTATATATTCCCGTGTAAAACTTTGAACATCCGTTGTTGCCCCACCCTAACCCCAGGGGTCATGATTTGAACAAACTTGAATCTACACTACCTGACAATAATTCCACATGAGTTTCATCTTTCCTGGCCCATTGGTTTTTGAGGAGAAGATTTTTCAATAATGCCATTAATTTTTTGCTATTTCGTAATTATCTCCCCTTGGAGGAGGGTGTGGCCCTTCATTTGAACAAACTTGAATTCCCTTCACCCAAGGATACTTTGTGCCAAGTTTGGTTGCAATTAGCCCAGTAGTTCTGGAGAAGATGAAAATGTGAAAAGTTTACGACGACAACGCCAACGACAGACAACAGACAAATTTCGATCAGAAAAGCTCACTCGAGCCTTCGGCTCAGGTGAGCTAAAAAAGGCCTTAATTTATGGCCAAGATGTTACATAAACATTCCAAAGCAGGTTTAAATGTTATTTTTATCTTTATCCATAGCTGTTATTAAGAAATTATCCATGAACAAACTATTTTTCATAACACAGTAAAGTCAAGCTTTAAAAAAATAATTTATTTGCACCAATTCTAGGAAATAAACATGTACCGGTATACTATAAATTTCTTTTCATATACATACTTATACATTTAATACTTTAATATACCCACTAAAACACAAATACAAATTAAAACATAGATAAAATAAATGTTACTTTGGCAGGTCACCAGTGGATTTCAAGATTGTATATTTGATTTGAATTATACACTTTTTAACTTCCAACTGTACACAGACACACACAGGAATTTTAAAAATACAAATTAAATAAAAAAAACAACAAACAATATACTTTTGATCTAACCATGCCAGTTCTCTAGTGTTTGACCCTTTATCCAATCATACAAAACTTAAAATTAATTTACATTTAAATAACAGTCACACAGATTAAAACAAATAACAAAATAATGAATCTAAAGTACTTTTTGTTTCTGCAAACATTTGTTCTTTTTTCCATTCATGCAGAAAAAAAAATTCGTATATGTAAAAATAGATAATTTAAATTTTACTAATATAATAAAACATCTCCTAACTCCTAGGCTCAATCTGAGCTAATAAAGCTGTTAATATTTTGAATATTGCACATTTATTCCAGGCTGCATGTGGCACATTTCTGAGGTAAAATACAGGTACTCCAACTGTGGCCTCCAAACACAAACTTTTGACTGCTGACGCTTATCTCTTCATATTCACTGAAAATCAGTTCAGCACTTTATACATACATGTATAACAGAACTTAGAAAGAAAATATCGATAAAAATAAGAAAATTTTGCATTTTACCAATACAGAAAATAAATATATCTCCTCCTTTTGGAGGGAAGGAAGACACACAAAATGTGTTACACTATTAAATCTCACCTTTCAGTCTTGCTGACTAAAAGATCCACAGAGGGGTCTTCTTCAATGGCAGGTAATTCAGAGTCTCCATAAAGACTAGGACGGGACACAAGATTGGGTCGAAGGAAAGGTTTAGGCATTGGGAGACAGGATGGGTGACTCTTGGGACTATTTCTATAGTTATCAAGCACCTGTGACACTGCATGATGGCATTCATAAAATTCAGCATCAGAAATCTAAATGGAGATACCCTCAAATAAATATATGCTGCTACATACATTTCTTACTTTGTATAAATGTAGTAAAAATTTTCAATATTGTTTTTGTGATATATGAATCAATTAAATGCATATGTGATTTTTTTCCCTTGTAAAGAGTGACAAATCAAGAGAAAAAAAACTTACAAGATTTACAGAAATTTTGAAATTATTTCTATTAATTATATGTCCCTTTATTTATTCTTTTCAAATCTCAAACATTCTTACCTGGCATATGTTATGAAGATTAAATAAACTCTGATTCATTGCATTATTCAGTAATCCTTTCTCCTGCAGACCATGTTGAAGTAAACTGAGGGCCAAACAGGCAGTCTACAACACAAAAATACTAAAAATGTAATCAGAAAAAATGCAATTGTTCAATGATTACAAAATTTATACAGTACTCTTAAACTTTAAATGTCAATATTGATCCAAGGAAGAAAACTTACAGAGTATATTGCACATGAGCTGTAGTTGATGCAAATCTCAAACTTCTGGACAAGTCGAGAAAGAAATTGGTGGTCTAGCACCTTAGTTGTTGTACAAATAATATCACATAAAGTCTTAAGTAGAGAGGGGCAAGTCTCAACCCACAGTTTCCAATCAAGCTTCTGCATGACAACCGTCTCCATTCTCTTCAAATCGGAGGATTTCCAGGCATGCTGCATCAAGCTAGATAACTCTGTTGCTGATGGAACATCCTGATAAATGAAAAACAGAGATTTTAAAAAAAAATTATTATTAACATTAATAAGATAATAAAAGGAGACAGTTTGGTGTTTTAAAATTCACAACCTTTAAAAGAAATCAACAATTAAATACTTATTAATTTGTTATCCTGATAATTTTGTGGAGAATGTACAAAACTTTACCTCATTTTCCTCATGAAATTTGCTGGATAGATAAAAACAGGCTGTTGCAAGGCAAGAATAGTACTTTGATTGGACCTGCAATTTTTTTTAAAATTTAATCAATATATATATCAATTAATGTCAAGTACAGTTAAAGATTAAAAAAAATATATAAACAATAAGCAAATACTACATTTTATTATTGCATTTTTCTACTGATTTTTTAAGGCATAATTTTTATTTAAATTACCTTGACTTTTGCTAGAAATCTGTCCATACAGCTAACTGCAGTGGCGTAAGTTGAAGGATTACAGTTATAAAAATGTGTTAGGCAGCGAATAGTAGAGATGGCTTTATCCCTCTGAGCACTTATAGAATTGTCCTGTAGATTTATCAAAAACTTAATCATGTAGCACACTTTTTTTGAAAAGCAAATAGATATTATAAGTCTTGATACATGTAACAATGATTTAATAAAGATCTTTCATTTACCTTTTCTGGAGGGCGCAGGAAAAGGGAGTGTACTATAAAGGCTTTCCATACACCTTTCAGTAAACCCCCTCTTTTTCTCGCCCCTCCAATGAAAGTTAAATGAAGGACATTACAATAATTAACTTTAAATACAGTTTTGCGAGTTGTGTTCTAAAACTTTGAAAAGTATTCGAATCAAATCCAACATAGAGCATACAATTGAACTCTTCAGAGAGCAAACATTACAAATGAACTGGTAATTTCAAATCATAAAGATGGAAAGCAGCCAAAGATGATTTCAAAACTTTTCCTTAAAATATTAAAGGCGTATAAAGATTTAAAGTTGATTTACAAATAACAACAGGCACAAGTTACACTCATGAGGCCAAAAGAAAAAACATGTTTTTTTCCTATCTCAACATGCTCAATCAATTAGTCCATTTTACATCTTCACTAGCCAAGGGTGATGATCCGCTCCTCTCGAGAGAAGTGGATCGTCACCCTTGGCTAGCGAAGATGCCCATTTTATTGACTCTCTAGATCTATATTTTTTTTATTTTTGGCCAAATCAAATCAAAAAATCAAAAAAAAAAAAATAAATAAATAAGGATTTATTATGCTTTAAGTTCAATATAAAAACCTTTCTTACTGATCTTCATTTTGTTTTTAAAGCAACATTAATTGTCTCCTGCAACAGACATTCTGTATGTTTCTGCTTGGCCTGACTGTATATATATATCAACTTTATTTAGCTCAAACAAAAGCATTTCATTAATTTTACCACAGACCTGCTATGATTTGACATTTTAGTTATAACTTACCACTTTTGGTGCTATCAACTGCTTCAAGATTTCTCTTAATTTTTCAACCAAATGTTCATTCGATAGGTCGAACTGTGTCTGTAAATAAATTTATACAAAGAATTAAATCAAGGCCTTAAAATAAAAATACATTGTTGTGAAAAACTAAGTATGCATTTTCTTTTTCACTAAATTCTTATTAAAAAATTAAAACCAATTTATGTACAATCACCTTTTCTTTTGAATCTTTGCACGGGACATGGTTCAAAGCTTCTAGCTGACTTTTCCGACTCTTTCCCATTTTCTCGCAAAACAGCAAATTAATAGCCTGGCGACTATTATTTTCTGTTTCTTGAACCATTTTTAATCTCAAAGGTGTAAAGCCTTGTTTCTGCCTACGTCTTCAAGATGATATTCGTACATCTGCTCCTGTTGTCATTACGCCACTTGCAGACGGCAGCTGTCAACAAAAGTCGTTTGAAATTTGGCGCACATCTTAAACCCTCTCTCCTTAAATCTTACATTTGTAACACTCATTTTGATTGGATAAATCTACCTATTCAAATATGAACTATAAATAGTTTTGTTTTGTAAACATCAGCATAAATTTTTCAAACGATAAATCTCCAGTTTCACCCATATCTACATTTAATTGCATAGTATTTTGTTCTTCAAAGCGTTAGATTAATTGAATGTGCTTCATAGTAAAGATTACAACAGGTTTACCTCATATTTTCCTTTTTTGACAGCTCTGACCTCGACGGTGAAAACAACTTTTGTTCGCTTCCAAGGGTGTAGTTCTCCCTCCGCGCTAATGATTCCATAGAAGTTTTCTAAAAATGAGGTGGAAAAGCAATATTCATCCTAACTACAATTTTTTAAAATCTTTAGTTAATTAATATGTATATATTGCATACTTAGTATAATGTTAACATGAAAATACCAGATTTTTTAAGCGGATGAATATATTCGGAACTATATTTGACCCTTACCAACAAGGAATTTCCTTGGAACGCAACTTTAATACATAGTCCTTATTATTTTCGTTTATTCGATAGAAGATGGAGTTTTAAAATCATCAATGTAAGCAGGATAGTGTGAATGGAACAGGGGAACATCCTAGTTCAACTCTCGTTCCATTTTTCTCGTCAGGTGAGTGTAAATTTTACTGACAATTTTGCTGATGTTGGTTTGCATCAGCTGAATCATGGAAGCCATTTTGACAGTGACTATTTTAAGACTGGGAAATATTTTACCAAATCAATTGGTTTTTCTGGGATGAATTTATTAAGGATGGTTTCAATTTTATTAAAACTTTATGCGAAATGGGATTTAAAGAGAAATATTACGTAAAAACGTTATGAAATAAATATTTCTAGAAGATACTATAGTAACAACAATCCCTCATAGTCATATAGAATGCAGGCTGCTGAGCCTCCTACAGCATCTTTAAAAGAGTCTTTACTTGTTAAATTAAGAGGCTTTTAATTATGGGTTAAATATCGTTGCAGTGTTTTGGTGCAGCAGTTTGGGGTTGTCAAGATGGAGTCGCACAAAAGATTAGATGCTAGGCATCTGATGAAGATGCTTGGGGAGCACCTTGCAAGATGCAGTCAGTGGTCATCAAATGCGTACAAGCCTACAGGAACATGTGATGTAAGTTACATGGGAATGAAATTCTGTCATTGTGATCAACGAAGTTTTCATTTAATATTTACGAATGCAGTGATATAGTAAGTTTCATAGACTTCCCCAAAAAATGTTGTTACTTTACCCAAATAGGGATGGTGTTTCAACATAAGCCTAAATATTTTTCTCATATTTTTCACAAAAAAATATGTATTGGAATTTCAAACAATTTCCTGCTTTTAGAAACTGTCTAAGTGTTAAATAAGATAATAAAAAAAAAAAAACTAAACATAATAATTGTTTCATTAAAGGACTTTTTAAGGAGTAATATTTCTGGGAAATCTTCTGAAATTGAAGTTAAAGTATTTTTAAATAAAACGTTGATTCGCCAGATTGGTTGATCAGCTGTTTATTGAGTTAACAGTTTTCATGATAACCAGGAAATGATTAATAATCATTGTTGGATGAAACTGTGATGTCATTACAAATGAGAGGATGTTGCATAAAGCTATGAAATTTCTAAACAATTGCATCATCTATATGCTGTCATTGAGTCAATGACATAATCCAGGTTAATGTAATCAAAATCCTATTTGGCATTTAATGTTCCATGTTTGACATATATTGACATGCTCCATGTCTTCAGTCTCCAAAGCCTGAAATGCATTCATTTCTATCTAAATTTTTTTTAAAAAGTTACTTATTGTAAAGAATAATTTACTGTTCCTTGATTTGAATTTTAAAAGTCCATATTTTACTAATTTATCCTACACATGCAAGTTTAAATTCCACATATTGATATTTAAATTATTTTATTTTTGTTTTTAAATATGGGGAGTCTGATATATTCAAAAGAAAGGACATGAAAACTTGTGCAAATCAACTAAGAATAAGGAATTGTATAGATTTGTAAATATAACCTGGTTTCACCAGTAGGACAGGAGCTATTTTTAGATCCTTTTAAACTCCAACTTTACAAGGTCAATGATCACGGGACCTACCAAGAGCTGACAGTGATTGCTGGCAGGTGCCCAAATCGGTTATTTCTGTTTGTTTAACAACCTTTGTCATTAGTATCAGGGAATTCAAAGCAAACTTTAAAAGTCTATCCATATCAATAGGTTTAATATATTCATTGTTTTCTACTACTGGTTTAACTAGTTTATGTAAAAACATGCATAAATGTCACTGGTGCCATGGTGATGACAATGTGATGTGTTTTATGGTGTTATGTGGCAGCATTAAAAAAAAATTACATTAAATATGTCATGTGTGGAATATAAATAAATATCTCCAGCAATGAATTAAAATAGAAACTGTTTAAATTCATTACATGTATTTGTCATATCAAAACATGATTTTTTCAGGCATAATACATGTACCTTTGATTTAATGCAAGTTCACCTTTTTTTTTGACTGGTTCAGTTATTTCCGTAATTATATTATGATTTTTTTTAGATAGTAAATTTATTCATCTAATTGTAAATGTAAAGTGTTTGGAAGTCACAGCTGTATTAACACATTATTAAATAGTGAAGGCTCACATGTTCTAAGTAAATTTCTGTATTCCATATTTTTTTTTTTTAAAGGAGGTCTTGGGTCAACAGAGAGATAAGGTTGTTGGTTGGATTTTGTCATTGAATGCAGAGTTCAGATTTACACCAGAAACTCTCGGACTGGCCATATGTCTCCTTGACCGCTTTCTGAATCTCATTAAGGTAAGTCTGTTGATTATTTCCTCAATCTTTCATTCTTGGGAATCTACACGTTTTTGTCATATATTTTATTAGTATTAGCAATTCAGATTAAAATTTGAGTGTTTGCTATGTGGATTTATATTGATATTTATATATACATATCTTTCTGTTTAATGATTTATGATCTCCCGGGACCATTCTAGACCCAACATTTAGGGAGACATTCTTCCTTGGAAAAATTTAGGTAGAAGTTTCAAAATTTGGGAGAATTTTTTGTGTGCACATGGCACACATTGATCGTTAAATATGTTTAAACATTGTTAAACTTGAAATTTTAAATACATGTCACTTTATATCCTCTTGATACATTGATTTCTCTGTGTCACTTCAACATCCAAAGAATATTCAAAGAGTCAAAAAGGTGGAAGATCTTTCATAAATATTGACATGTTCAAATTACAAAGTATATATCAAATAAAATATCTAGCAAGAAGACAAAATTGTATATTGTCAGTGAACAATGTACAAGTTTTACCCTTACTTGCCTCAGTCACCCCCCTAGGTTGGTCGTTGATCTCACATTGTGCATGCATGGTAATTTTGAATAAAATTCTTTCATGTTTATGTTCTTATTTTGATAAGATAATTGAATCAACAATATTTTTTTTTTATTGGACAGGTCCGCCCCAAGTATCTACCCTGTGTAGCCATCTGCTGCTTATACATCGCAGCAAAAACCTTGGAAGAAGATGAGGTATGTTCAGATTTGTACACTTCACAAAAATAATTGTATGGGTGTAAGGAATTTTGTTTGTGTCACTAACAATTTTAAGGTCAAGATCTAGTAAATGAGTTCAGTCTGTCTTTTGGTGCTAGATCCATTATGACGTTATAATTGATTTAATCTTATTTTTTCCCATATTTTGTGGCTATAACAGAATTAAGTAGAAAATGACACATTTTCATGGAATTCAATTTGAAATCATTTCAAAAGGAACCCCGATACCTATATTCAATTTAATATCATTTTAAAGAAGTGGTCAAGAAGGTATGAAAAACTGTTTACTGAGAGACTGTAGGCAATACTGATACATTTTGTTTGTCTGAGATGGAGAAAACTCCCATTTTTATACCTGATTTTCTTCATTTTTCATTAAAAAGGGCAGTTTAAATATGTTTTTTGTTGAGTTTATCTAAAAATTATGCCCCGATACACCTCAATTTATTTAGCTATAATTGTAAAAGATTATTAAAGGAATTTGTTTTTCAAATTTGAAAAATCTGTAGGCACTCTTCATTTACTAGATCTTGACCTTAAGGAAGATTGGCATTCATGAAATGAATGTGTTGGATTTTTTTTTTAGGTAATACCAAGCACCAAGGATCTTGTGAAGACCATTAGATGTGTCTGCTCTGTGGCGGAAATTCTCAGGATGGAGGCCATTATCCTGGATAAACTTTCCTGGAATGTTAAACAGGTCACTGCAGTGGATCTTCTTCTCATTGTAAGTCTATGACATTGGTGCATTGATTAAATATAATGAATAATGTATCTTGGTTGTGCAAATTAAATAAAAGTAAAACAGGAAGGGAGAAGGTTTCAAACATTATTCAGAAATATGACTAAATTTTTTAGTATTTTCATATGGTCATAGCACTATGTAGGTTTATTGGTGGTTAAAAGTAGGCTTATTTTTGACTCATTTCCAGATCCATGGCTTGCTTATGTGTTATTACCCCAAACTGCTAGATGGACTGAGCAACCTGACTCCCTCACAGCACCTGAGTATGATGATGCGGAAGATCTTCCATTGTCTGGGAAACCACCAATTGGCGGTCTTCAGCCCCATCAGCCTCGTGTTGTCCATTGTAAGCTTGGAGCTGGAACAAATTACCCCAAACTGGTTCTCCATCGTCAACACAGTCCAGCAAGTGGCAGAGGTAGGGAGATTAGTATCAATTCATTGTGCAGATAACTGTGCACTTGCAATTCCCAAAATCTGATAAATTATTAGTATGTTCTCAGATCTAATGCAGTAGTTGATATCTAAAATTTAACTTCAGTAAGATTTAGATAAATTTTATGTTCATGATGTTCATTGTTTATTTGTTTCCCATCATTTATTTAAGTGTTCGATTTTTGTTGGTTTTGCAGGTCAACAATCAAACCTTCTTTCGCTGTCGTGAAGTGACTGGTTTGTACCTGTCCAAGCATGGACTTCTACCCTCTGGATATCAGTTTAGAGTGATCAAGCGTTCCAAGTCGATCAAGAGAAAGGCCGTGGATGACGAAGAGGAAGATCTTTATGACGGCATCAAACGTCTGTACAGTGAAGATGCCATGGATACCACCGCTTCTGTGAGGAAGTCATGTAGCTCGGAGATGGTTCAGCACCAAGACACTGACGGAAGAAATAGTTTCCTTGTAGCTGCTGTCAGTGCCAATTAGAACGTTTAAGTTCTATTGGTTGACAAAGCTTATCTTTCTCTTATAAGTAATATGATTGAATTAAAAAAATATCTCAACAAGTCCAAAATTACAGGGGATGGGAGGGGGGGGGGGCTTTATTAAGAAATAGTTCAATTAGGTAGACTCATTTTGACAATCGGGGCAGTTTCTTATTGTTCAGAACTATTACAATAGTTAGATACTTTCCTAAAAATCAGTGACAAAATTTGGGCCAAAAAATTTTGATTTTTTTTAATCTGGTTATGGTTATTTTTAAGACCCAGACAATGCAAGACAAAAACCTTTTTTCCCAAAAATTTACAGATAGGCTTTTGTTCAGCCAAACCTTCCAAGTTGCTCAGATAAAGAAACTTCAGTGATGGTACAGAATTATTTCCTCTAGCCTGTATGGATTTTCATTTTTTTTTTTTTTTTTTTGGTCTACAAAAGTTTTTATAATTTTGTTATGTTTTTAGAGTTTTTATTATTTATTGTATTCAATGGCCACTATACTTCTGTCTTTTCAATTCTTCCCATTGCTTTATGATATGAACATTATTTTTCAAAATTCAAATGATGTATATGTTCGTGTGTACATTGTATAATCACATATAGAATACATAGCAAATAATTTAATTTTGATGCTTGACTAAATGAAAAGGCAAGATAGGCATGGTAGGGTGCTATTACATCTCCGGTGAGTAATTTTACATAATGTGGCCTATGTATGTTATTGTCAGATTTTACTATGTAAAGGTGACTTTTATTATTTCTTTTTAAGTAATTAAATAATATCCATACTGGCTGGAGGAAAAGGAAAGAATATGACTCGACTCCTATGAGAAAGAAAAAAATATAAACTATGCCACCAATCGCCATACTTAGCTTTGTTTTATCGTGTCGGAATTATTTTTCAGTTCAAAAGAACAAAAAAAAGTTCATAAAGTAAATTGTTTTAAAAAAACAAAAAACAAAAAAAATTGTCAATTACCCACATTTAACAAGCATTATGTAGACTGTATATGGATGTTGATTATTTTTTATTTTAGTGTAGACAAAGATCTTGATTGTATATAATAATTTTGTAATGTTGTGTTTGTATGGAATTTAATGAATTTCCACCCAAGCAAGGGATAGGGAAAGTCTCAGGCAGCATAATTCCACTGACTATAGGGATAGTTTTGTTAAAATATAATTGGACCATGTGTTAAGATCGCAAGATGATATTTAAAGGTCATTTTTAATTTTTTTTTTTCCCCTTTTTTCATTTGTTGATAAACCTCATGGGTAAAATTGTTAATTTATTATTAAAGTTAAGGATTTCATTTCCCTCCTAGTATGTGTATACAAAAGAACAAATATTTGCAAAATGTACTGGTCAGCTATTGTGAATATAAAGTTTGTATATTGTAAATAAGTTGTTTTTGAAATACTCTTTTATATACTGAAGAAGAGTGATTTATACTTGCCAAGATTTGTAATAAGCAGGTGAGAGAATGATATTATTAATATTATACAAAAGGAGGAATTGATCTAAACTGTGGAATAGGTTCAGCAAAAATGAAAACTTTGCTTTAAAACTCAGAATTTACAAATTCCATTCCAATGAGATCTGTATGAAGAGCATAGATGAAAGAGAGAGATCAGAAATCCAGTTATATGAGAGAAGAAGGTGTGAAGTAAAACTGAGTGATATGTGCAAATTTTATTATTATTTTTTTCATGTCATTGTTGTTATATATTTGTTATAATTTCATTTTAGTCCCATTAGGCTGTGCATTTGACTTGTAGAAGTTACTAGACTGGACTGCCGCACATACTTCTTTTTTCTGTAATCTGTAAATCTTGCTAACTTTCATTTCTCAAACTATCAGGCAGGTTAAGGTTTAGCTAATATCTACAGTAGATGAATGACAACACATTGTTGTAATCAATTGATGGCTGTGTTATGTAAAAAGATTTGAATGGCAATAAATGAATTCTGGTGGCAATTCCTTGTCGCATATTTTCATTTAGTCAGGATACTCTGTGTTTTATCTTTAAAACATTTTAACATAATGTATAAGACCTTTTTGAAGCAGCTTCATAAGGAACTTGGTTCATTTTGCACGAAATATGAATATTGTATGCAGTTTACATATTTACAAATTTCGATTAAAAAATTACATTGAACATGTTTATATATCATTATTGTGACCTTGTTCACGTGGACGAGTCCTTCATCAGTGCGTGAACATCACTTGGCCTGAATTGTGATAGTAAACATTATCAAATTGTAGTAACCTGTAAATAACAGGCTGTTGGACAAAACGGGGTCAACTTTACTCCAGTGTAACGGACTGTGTCTCATATATCAGTGTATAGTAAATCGTCCTAGATAACGTTATTACTGACCGATTGTAAATCGGATTTGCTTACTCGCAAAAACCCAGTATGCTTTGAACATCTTTATGTAAAGCATTGTCTTCATGTAGAAAGTGGAACCGATAATTTACCCCCACACTGCTTAACACGAAAAGTGGCTCCCAATTGCAATCTATTGATATTTCACCCTGCTAGTGGAGTAAAATAACGACATGTCCATCGGAGATCCTTTATTCTTTGAAATAAAATACTCCTTTTGTATATCAATTAAACACATTTTGCTGATTTTGGACGATATATATATATATATATATATTACACATTTTCATTTTCTCATGCGTGAACATGTTAATGTATTAAATATTTTTCGCTTTGTATTTTATATAAAGGAAGGAATTTCAAATCACCACAAAATGCCGTATTCGTCGCTCCAAGCACTGCGTCGTCCTGAAGAAATTTACTAAAGCTTTTGACCGAAAAGTCATGACTTCTGATATTTTGTGTGTTGGCTTATCCTTTTTGTAATTAACCAAACTGTCACAATTTTTGTCATAATGCATAAATACAACTTTATAAAATGAATTCGAAGGACATGATTGACATGCGTTTGTTAAATACTCTGGACACAAGTACGGTAAAAATGTACAAGATATAGGGCCATGCACGAGTGGGATTACCGATAGACTTGCGTTTATTTAATTTACTCCACAAGCACTGTGAAATATCAACAGGTGAAAAATAGGTCATTGGTCCTTTTTACAAAATCTTAATTTAACTGATAACAATGAGATTGCCAACAGGTACAGGCATTGGTAGATTTACACACAACCTTCGACCCAATTTTTTGTAAGTTTCTCCATGCGTGTCGGTCTTGAGTGTAGGAACCTTTTTTATTTTGCTTGGTTCCGTGACTAGCGATAACTTTTTCTCGACCAGCTAAACTTTTTTCAAATATATGCAATCTACTGTTTGCATTTACTTTCCTGAACATTTTAAAAAGGTTAATACGTTTCAGAATTTTGTATAACTCGTCTAGGCATATATCCCATATAATTGATCTTAACAGAATTACCGATAGAGGAAATAAATTAAAGCTTGGGGAATAAAATTACTTGGAAGGCAAAGAGTTCAAAGGTGCAGGACAATCACTATAATAACTGTAACTTGGTTTAAGGACCGATGATACCCCCCTCCCCCAAATATGAATGCCTGGATATGTGTTACAATGTGATACATTGAATAATTTCTTTCACAAAAAAATGCTGTTTGGATATAAACAAGTGTTTCAAAATGACTACAAGTATTTATGAGAAAAACAGTAATGAAGATATTACGTGGTATATAAATTACAGTGACTGTACAATTGTATTTAAATGATATGATCCGGAAATAAATGTAAAAGAAAAAAAGATAAGTCGTGATTTACGTCGCAAAAGGTGGAGAATGGTTCAACTTTGGTCCAGTGGGAGCACTGTTTAATTACCTGTTGAATGGTCTCGCTCATATGCTTTATTCATAGGCAATGAAAATATATCTATCTACTAAATGTATACCATTATGTATGTAGTAAAGTACAAGTTGCTGTCTGCTAAGCTAAGAGGCATATGTTGTGTCAATTAATTAAATTTGCTCGGTTCATTGTTAAAATTCTAGCCGCGAAGTCAACATCATGTAACAGACTCAAGGATACATATTATTCTGTAAGCGTAAAAATCAATCAATCAGCCAGATTAATTGCAATTAATGCATGTTCAAACCAGTAAAGTTACATGTACAACAATTTTCTTGCCTTAAAGGACTAGTGGGGCCGATTTATCCTCGATCAACAATCAATATCTAAATACATGTACAAAATGTATGTGCGTATCTTATAAACATCATGTGTGATAGTCTACTGAAACGATATCGGGGAAAATACAATAAAAAAGACATTAGAGGGCACATACTGTGCTTAGATAAATAAAATCAATTATACTTAAATGATAAAATGTAATTGAAGAGGAAATTACATTACGAGTTGTGTAAGATTACAGAAGACGATGGTTCAAATATGAAAAATAAAACCCTGACACTTGTCAGAATTGATTGAAAGTATAAGATGGATGTCGAACTCTTGTATTAAACAGTTGATGAGCAATATAAAAAAATATACATCCCTCATTTTTCAATGATTCAGAAGTGAAAAAAGAATTGACATCAAGTAAAAACATGATCAATATGTACTGGTCGCAGCTGACAAAGCAGGTGACGGCACATGCATGTACAGTCTTTGTTTGTAAGGCTCATTATTGCAATTCCATTTTAGAGCCGGGTACTTGGATTTAATTCTACAAATGCTAATCCAACTGATGCCCATATTCACACCTATGTTTAAACCAGGTTTACCTGTAAGAAGGACTCACATTTTTAAAACCTGTTTCACACCTGCTTCTCAGGAGTGAGCTCATCTCAGAAATTAGGGTAAACCTAAACCTGGTCAAGGGTAGGTTTAAATGTTAAAGATAGTGTTATTCTAACTATGGAAGACCACATAGATGGAGTAGAAAGGCTGGAACTTATTGACCAACTGTTTGTAAGACGACCTAGAACTATCCGTGATAGATTAGATCCATTTCTTTTTTATGATGAGGAGGATTTTCTTGTGAGATTCCGTTTTTGTAAACGTGACACTCTCCGTATAATGGACATGCTTGGAAATGATCTAGAACCAAATCAGAGAAAACTGATGTCAGTTTCACCCCTTACTCAGCTTTTGATAACCTTAAGATTTTTTGCTACAGGAGCATTTCAGCAAGTGAACGGGGATTTATTTGGCATTTCACAGGCAATAATAAGCAGGGTTGTTAAAAGAGTTTCATATGTTTTGGCATCAAGGTATAGGGATGTTATTCAGTTTCCTCAAGGTAACAACCTACTTCAGATACAGAGGGGTTTTATGGACATTGGAAGAATTCCCGGAGTAGTTGGTGCAATTGATTGTACCCACATACCAATTCAGTCCCCTGGAGGTAGAAATTCAGAAGTTTACAGAAATAGAAAGGGATTCTTTTCTATAAATGTGCAAGCTATATGTGATTATGAGTGTAATTTCACAAACATTGTAGCTAGATGGCCAGGCAGCACCCATGATAGCAGAATCTTCGAAAACAGTAATATTTGCGCCAGGTTTGAGAGACATGAGATAGATGGAATATTATTGGGCGACAATGGATATCCGCTTCGACAATATATAATTACACCTCTATTACATTGTAACACTAGACCTGAAATACTTTTTAACAATGCCCATTGCCATTCTCGGGTTAAAATTGAAAATGCCTTTGGAATTTTAAAAAGAATGTTTCCCTGCCTTAGAGTAAAGCTCAGCATAAAACTTCAAACTGTACTACATGTAATAGTCTCATGTGCAATCTTATACAACATGCGTAGAAAGTGGAATGCCCGTTTGCCATTCAATGATGATGCTGATATCGATGACCCCATCGTTCCAGTCCCAGTGCCACAACGGCCCAATCAGGGAGGACAGGGCATCAGAATGCTACTAATAAGGCATTTTCAGGAATAGATAAAAAAGGGGAAAAGGCATGTATATTTCTTTTATTTTTGCAATCTCAATGATATAATTCACATTTGATTTTCAAAAATTGAATGGCTGCCATATCTTTGCATTATCATTATTTTGATTCTGATTGGTATTATTGTTTCCATCTCTGTTGAAACTGATTTCTTCAAGTTTGCGAATTTTAGCCTCAATATATTGTTTTTTCAAATGAAGTATCTCCATTTTCAGTTGATGTTCTTTTTCGGCCATCTCGAGCATCTTTTTCTTGACATCATCCTGCTCCACATATTTTCTCTTAGATGCAGATATGGATTTAGATGAGGACGTGGTCATTGTCTGGGTGCTTACTGTCGCTAGTGACATGGACGTTTGTGGCTCTGACGCAGACACAACAGGATTTATTTCTGGGGGATGCAGATTACATACACTTGATGATGTGGAACCTGGCTATATATTGTTTTGATTATTAAAATGAATGCAGTTAGAATACTGTTTATGTCATTTTATAAAGATTAAAGAAATAGTTACATTTATTACAAATATTTGTTTTTGTATGTATTTAAAATACTTACTGACACATTGGAGTTATCTATATCACCGTGAAGTTCAGCGTTGTCATCAAATTCATTTTCGCAGCTGTTAATTTGTTGCGGAATGATCTCTCTAACTGCGGAGGAGAGCTTGTCAATTGTCCCTTCTAAAGCACCACCACCAGTTTTTGATCTCTCTCTTCGTTCCTTTGCCACAGCAGACTTGCTTCTTGATTTTAAGTTTTTCCATAATGATTTTAGCTGAGTGGATGTCCTGGTATTTACACCATTTCTACTGTTAAATTCCTTAGCAAGGTTTTCCCATTCCAAATTTTTCTTGTGAATCATTTTAGCATCAGTAGCTTTGTTTTCAATTATATCCTTCTTTGACCCGACTAAATCAATAAAGGTACACTTTTCTAGTTCAGTAAAATTTGGACCTTTCTTCCCAGCCATTGTTCATGTAATACCAAATAAAGAAAGCAAACAGAGCAGGGGTTCAGGTAAACCCAGTTTTATTTTAAGTGTGAAACACAGGTGAGTTTTATGTGAACTCAGCTCAAATGGGATTTAAACTCAGTTTACCTGAACTAAGCTTACTCCTTAAATCTAGCTTATCTAAGACACAGGTGTGAATATGGGCATTTTAGAGTTGCCTTTCTAAGGAGAAAATTCTTGAAAATCATGTGTCAGTTTAAATATTTTTAATATTCCCAACAACCAAACTGAGTTTAAATTACTCTACCTATACTAAATTCCAAAACTTCATAAAAATCCTTACGAACGAAGATGCATGGGTTCTAGTTAATGTTCTACCAAGCCTCATTCTTTACTCCTCATGAAAATTTAACAGCAGTGAAGGAGAAACTTTATGCGTATTGTACAACAGATGTGATTAAATTAAAAATTTCAAGGAACTTTTAGAAAATTTGAAATCACAAAAATTTGATGAAAACCATTCCCCACGATAAATTATAGGCCAAACTTTTTGACATCATAGACAACTGCTTCTTCCGAAAATTAAAAATTTAAAAGAAAAAAAACGAAACTCGTAAACTTACATATTTTGTTTCTGGTCATCTGCAAATCAGGGGGTCGTAACATAAAGCTTGCTAAGTTTTTGACTTAAGTAGGGTCATAAGTATGTTTTAGGTGCAATCTTAAGACCTGCCTAAGTACTACTTAAGTATGTCTTAAACCGTAACATAAAACGGACTTAGGTAGGTCTTAGCTAAGTCAAACTTATGTTCAAAATATTTGTTACGAATCATCCTAGTTTTTCAATTTATTTATATATACATTTGTAAAAATGATTTAGTTACGTTTTTAATCACATATATATTAAAGATGACGTCCTTACCTATCGGTTTTAGCTAGGATAAATTACCTATCGGTTTTAGCTAGGTTAGATTAGATTTCGTACTTAGTTAAAGTTAATTCTGTTTAAATTATTCGAAATACAATGTATTTGAAAACAAATATTGCACGGTCACAAAGTGGTACAAGTGGTTTTTTGTAAATGTGTGAATATTGTTTATCACTCGAGACTGCGCTGTTTTCAGTTTACCGTTTCTTGTTATTCTTTCGTTTGACAAATGTTCACTTGCTCTCAAATTGTCATTCTCGCAGACATGGCACGATAACCGAACGTCTATGTACTTGAAATTGAAACTCTGATAAAAAAAAAAAGTGCAAACCGATAGGGACATTTTCAGCAAGCAGTGACTGCAGACGTTTTATGATATACTTATTTACAATTTAATGAAGGATGTGAAAGAATTGTTTTCAGAAAATAATTTTTCGTATATCTCCAACTTCTCAACAATCTCTCTCTCTCTCTCTCTCTGGAACGTTAGTAAACGGTAGTGAACCCTCTCTGAATCCTCGCTTGTTGCGTTCTACATTCAATCTAATTTACAGAAAATCTTTATTTGTTTTCTAGTCATCATCCTTCAATTCACCGACAATTTTTAAAATCATTTCATCTCATTTTTTTCACAGTGAACAAACAAATCCATGATTACTGTATACAATTTACTCAAAATGATTATTGTTTATAATCTAGGTCACACTAATATAATATTTCAAACGTATCCCAAAAATAATATTTTGCATTTACATGAATGTCATTTAGAGAGTGATATTGGAATCAGTGATGAATCCCCCCCCCCCCCCCCCCCGACGAAAAGCTAACATTCTTATACCAGTATATTAAATATAGAAAATTATTTTTTAATGCATAATATAAATAGAGGAATGTTTTAACATAATAAGTCAACCTTAAATAGTTCTAAATATATGTTTAAGAAAGTTAAGACATACTTAAGTCTCCTCTACCGGCCGCCTAAGTTTTGCTAAGATTGTCAAATCTTAGCACGTTTCTAGTTACGGTCTTAAGTTCAAGACTGTACTTAAGTCCTACTTAAGCATGGTCTTAGACTTAAGTACCCTTTATGTTACGACCCCCAGATTGTTAAAAACATTCTGATTCTACACACAAGTACTCCGAGGTTGAAAGATGTTCGATTTTTTAATTGACAATATCTTTGTGTTTTTCGAAGACCATTTTTAGCAGACCCGTTTTTGTATTCATATGAAGCAGAATTTATTCAAAAACTTCTACATGAAAAGAAGAAGTCTCTTGCTGTGGCCTTTAATTCGACATTTAGAAATATCGACGACGTTTATCAAATAACAATATTCAGTTTTACCCCTACGTTGATTCGATATACCCAACTGAACTCGAAATAAAAGACACCACAGAGTCTAACACATCTGTTTTATATTTGGACGTCATTGTAGAGAAAGTCAAACTGACAACATAACTTTATGATAAACGTGATTACTTAAACTTTTCTTCCATTATTTACCGTTAAATCACCTCCACTTGGAGTTGTGTTGATTCGATACGCAACGGCGTGTTCTATGTACGAACACTTTCTAAAATGAGACAGGCTTTTAAAAAATGAGTTGATGATACCATCATTATAGTTTGAAGTCAACATTTCGTAAATTCTATGGTCGATAAATAAATAATACAATCTGTCATGACAAGGAGCACACGGCGGGTGTGAACCGTCGGCAGGGGATGCTTACTTCTCCATGACACTTGATCCACCACTTTTCCCGGTGATCCATCTTTGATTTATATTGTTTAATTAATGTTCGTTATCTTCCCATTTCATAATGTGCATTCTTGAGTTATCTTTCTTACCCTACGCAGTACAGTTAAGGTGCCAAATGGAAATACGTGCGAATTTTTTAGATAGAAAATACATTCTTTACGAGGATGGGCGTTTCTTTTTAGGACTTTACTATTATCGGACAAATGCAATATGGTTGAAAACTACATGAGGACGATTAGATTTCTTATATAGACTTGTCACGTGATGTGGCAGTCACGTGATTTTAGCAAATATACCTGAAGTATTGAGGTCATCTATAAATTCTAATATTGCAAGGGCATAACCAAGTTAAAAATCTAAGTTCAACATATAATTATTTTCAACACTTTTTGTAGTTTGTGAAAAGTGCTGCGAACCTATCACAGGCACTTGTTTCGATAATAAATTTTTAACCCATAATATTATAATTATACTATGGGTTAAAAATTTATTACCGAAACAAGTGCCTGTGGAACCTATATATGCCTATATTTCATGATAAATATGCAGGCGTGAAGCGTTGTACTTCATGTACCTCATGAATTCTCAAATATTAAATTCATATCTTATATTTACATTATTTTTCTGATGACTTGCCACATATTTTTATCATTCAACGATCATTTTTGAAAAAAAGTTTCCACTACTTCTTGACTTCAATCACATGCACAATTGAAATATTCTTACTCATCCCACGATATAGTTCATGAAAACATAAACTTTTTCTAATTTGCAAAGAATCTTAAGGAAAAATATTTGGAAATGTAAATATTGTCTTAACAATGCCCCGCCCTGAGTCAAGATAACTGATAACAAGAAATTTAGGAAAAAAATTGAATTCAGCGTTTATAAGATATCTTGTGCTGGCTTCCATGATGTAAATTTCCTTTACCTGCACTAAAATTCGGTAAATTCTGTCACTGTAGAACACCAACGAATGCAAATAATATTTAGCTGATCCCGCCCCAAGTGTAACGTAAGCGGTCCAATATCTCATCGACAGGTCCAATATCCCTCTCTGTGGTCAAACATCGATTTTTTTTTATGACCGCTCAGTAAAACATTGGAATTGTTCAGACTTTTTAAAGTATAGATTTGTATAGGGACCAATTTTTTTTAAGGTATAACAATAATGATTATCTGGGAAATATTTTTGCGCTACTTTTATATATGTATATGTACCGATATAATGGGGGTTGGAAGTTGACATTTTTTAGCTCATCCGAACTGAAACCTTAAGTAAGCTTTTCTGATCACATTTTCTCTGTCGTCCGTCTGTCTGTAAAATTTTCCACATTTTTCTCAAGAA